ATCTCCAGAATGAATTAAGTACGTTACCAGAGGTACCACTGTATTATTTTTTCAAAGTCCTTCCTTGTGAAAATGCATCGACAATTTAGTGCCAAGTTCTCCTAAAACATACATGCCTGTATACAGTTTGCCAAATGCATACATTTTTGCAAAGCAATTCTTGCAAGTCATTTTCACAAGCCCCCCCCCAAAAAAAAAACTTTTCGCACTTCACCCCAGCATATGCATTTTTACAAACATTTCTGGGCTGGAGAACCGCATTGCAACACTCAGGGTACTTTGAAGGAGTTTCAAAGTGCCAATTTCAAAAGGTGACTGTGTTTCAGTTCACACATTGTTTCTGAAAGTGCAAATTACCATAGGTCGGTCTGCCTTTAAGTGCAAACAACTGCAAATCCACCCCCCCATCCCAACAAAATTACAATGCCATCAATCAAATTTTCCCCCAACTTATGTGTTGGGAGTGAGGTGGGGGGAAAGCCACCAAACACCAAATCCCCAAATCCATTCCTACATATAGACCATGGGTAGGCAAATTAAGGCCCAGGGGCCGGATCCGGCCCAATCGCCTTCTAAATCCGGCCCACGGACGGTTGGGAATCAGCATGTTTTTACATGAGTAAAATGTATCCTTTTATTTAATATGCATCTCTGGGTTATTTGCGGGGCCTGCCTGGTGTTTTTAAATGAGCAGAATGTGTGCTTTTATTTAAAATGCATCTCTGGGTTACTTGTGGGGCATAGGAATTTTTTCATTATTATTATTATTTTCAAAATATAGTCCGGCCCCCCACAAGGTCTGAGGGACAGTGGACCGGCCCCCTCCTGAAAAAGCTTGCTGACCCCTGATATATACATTCACACTGAGATAGATCTGGTTTATTCAACAGGCCTTGATTTCCCTTTGGGGAACTGGGGGCTATCTCGCCACAGAACCTGATTAAAAGGAGTCAGAAGAACCTCAAAGGGTGAGCTGCAGAGCTGGTGTGGACCAGCTGGGGGCACTGCTTTTCACCTCAAATAAACATCAAAATGCACAATGCTGTGTTCTGTGGTCGGCTGGTCCTTCTGGCACCCCACAGTCTGACCCCGTCCCAGTTTCAGCTGCTGCCGCCACTGCCTGACCCTCCCTCCACAAAGACAAGCGGGTGGGTGGGAATGAACCCTCTGAGGTGGGGCAGGGGTTGGAGAGGGAGGCACACACATCAGCCAACTATTTCCTGACACAGCTAAATATACATTTATATCTTTTAATTTTTCATTGTCAGGGTCTGGCATGAACACATAGGCTGTCAAAAGCCCTCTCTCGCCCCCTGTGGAGCCTGCAAACCCAGGGGAGATAAATTTGCCCCACACAGCCTGAACATTGGGGGTGGGAGGTGAGCAAGAAGGAGGCAGGCCCAAGATAGCCCCCTGCTGCGAGGAGGAAACTTTGCCTCTCCACTCACCACAGCTGCCGCCTCTATGGTATGTCATCTCCCCCCCCAAATCAAGTGAGCGTTTAAAGGTTATGAGGAAAACCAAATTACAGCATTGTTATCATTATTACATTTAGAAATTCCTGCCCATGTTTTCAAAATGCTCTGCTTAGAATTATTATTGAAAGGCAACTGGATATGCCGGCATTTATGTGCCAAAAGGAATTGTTCTGTTGTCGGCATTGTTCTTTGTGGGCTTCTAAAAACAGATTGCTGCTGTTGTTTTCCCACTTTGTATATTCTTGGAGGGCAGGGGGTATTTTCCCACTTGGGGGCCACAGTCCCTCGTGGGAAACCTTCTAGGGGCCAGTGGTGGGCAGTGACCAGAAGTGAAAGTGGGTAGAGACGGGCAAACCAGAGGGATTTAGCCGTGTTTCCTGCATTGCAGGGGGTTGGACTAGATGACCCTGGGACCCCTTCTGCAGTTCTATGATAATCACAATACAAGGGCAGGCAAAAACACTTGAGGAGGGGGTGCGGCAGGGCTGGCCTCAAGAGAGTCCCAGGGGGCCAGATGGAGAGGACTGGAGGGCCACATTTGGCTTCTGGTTCCAGAGTTCACTTTTGATCAACGCTGTTTTTCTTTCATGGAAAGGTGAACTTAATCCAATCGGATAACAAAGCCAGCTCAGTTAGGACTGGGCTTTGGGACAGGAGGTCAGGGCTGCACTCAGCAAAATGAGCAGGCTGGGTCCCTTTGAAACCAGTCAGAATGGCTTACCCAGTTCTGAAGTAAGTGAGGGGCTGTGGCTCAGAGCACCTGCTTTGCATGCAGAAGGTTCCAGGTTCACACCTGGTATCTCCAGGTAAAGATGGGAGAGACCCTTTCCCAAAATGCCAGAGAGCTGCTGCCAGTCAGTGCAGAGAACACTGATTTAGTATAAGACAGCTTCCTATGTTCCTAAGTAATAAACATTACTGCCTAAATAGATGTGGAGGCTCAAAAACGCCATTGTTCCCCCCAAAAATATCAATGTTCTCCCTCTGTTCTCCACACACTCTTTCACCAATGTGTCTTTTTAAGGATGAGTCCAAGGCCACATCCGCACCATAAACTGAGAGCACTGCGATGCCACTTTAAACAGTCATGGCTCCCCCAAAGAATTCTGGGAGATGTAGTTTAAGGGAACTGAGAGGGTTAGACAATGAGCATATCTGTCTTTTTCGGTTTCCTTCCGTTTCTTAGCTTCACTGCTCTTTATTCCCTTCACGGAGCTACAGTTGCTAAAGTTCCCTGTGAAGAGGGAGGGGTTGTTAAGTCGCTTTGGGAATTGCAGCTCTGTGAGGGGAATAGGGGGTCTTCTTCACAACTCATAGCACCTTTCGCAAACTACAGCTCCCAGAATTCTTTGGGAGAAGCCATGCTTTTGTAAAGCGGTATTGTAGAGCTTTATATTTATGGGGCAAATGTGGCCTAAGATTGGGAGACTTTTTTCCCTCACTCCGGGATATTTTTTTTTTTTGCTTTTTAACGGTTTCTGAGTTCCATCCAGACTTTTGACTCATGTTTGGCTGGTTGGCAGGCCATCTTGCACCCTTGACCAGAACACAAGGCCTCCTGTGGCCTCCAGCAAAGAGATAGCCTGTCTGCCCTCCTCTCCCACAGAATTCTCCCCCACTTCCCCATGGGACGCAAAGGAAGAGTGCAGGAATTTCCTGTGTCAGTTTTTTTAAAAAAAAAGCCGCTTGGGGTGAGCCGCTGACTCACCAGGGACTTGGTGCGTGAGCTGTTCTCCAGCTGCGCTTTTGTCTGGATGCTGGGGGGAGGTCAGCAGGCCACATAAAGTGGGTTCTGGGAAGTGCTTCTTTTGCCCACAGAACCCCCCATAATGACTCACGGGGGATCCCAGATGAGACCATCCCATTTGGGAATTGTTGGTCGATTGAACCGGGAGTTTATTTCATTTAATGCAACACCTCATCAGCCCCAACTGAAGCCCCAAAGGAGTGAGCGAGCAAGCTTCCGGGTTCCTCAGAATTCTTCTTCAGGCTAGATATTGTGTAAAATAAAATGAGAAATGAACTACAGTGGTACCTCGGGTTAAGTACTTAATTCCTTCCGGAGGTCCGTTCTTAACCTGAAACTGTTCTTAACCTGAAGCACCACTTTAGCTAATGGGGCCTCCTGCTGCTGCCGCGCCGCCGGAGCACGATTTCTGTTCTTATCCTGAAGCAAAGTTCTTAACCTGAAGCACTATTTCTGGGTTAGCAGAGTGTGTAACCTGAAGCGTATGTAACCTGAAGTGTATGTAACCTGAGGTGCCACTGTATCAGAGTTTAGGTTGATTTTTAAAATTATTTTCAGGCACGCGAGTCGAACATGTGTTAAGTGGGGAGACTCATGTACCGTATATGTGTAAATAAAGCCTTATAAAACCACAGCCTCTGCTGGCTTTCCTTCCAAGGAAACAGAACCCTGAGTAAGCGCTGGAACCCACTCAGAGACTGGGGTTGCGTGTAACAGCCTACACACGGCCCTGTTTACATTGGCAGATGAGGTCAATCTCTTGGAACAATCCCGTTGGAGAAGACGATTAGCAGGCAGGGTAGTTGCGACTCTCAGCACCTTCCGGATGGAAGTCTTGTTGCACGAGCGTAGGTGCGGCAGGGATCCGGGCCAGCTCCAGCTTCAAAGAGTGTGAGGCCGGCTTTGATGCAGCACAGCACAAAATTGCACATGGACAGGAACAGGCGACTTCCAAGTAGGAAGGAAGGGCTCTGAAAGCATCTGTCCGGCTATAATGCCTGTGGTTTTTCAATGACCCTGGAATAGGAAGCGTTGGTTTCTGCAGCATCCAACTTGGCAAGCAGCGCTCAGGATGGCCGGCAGCTGCTCACGTTGCTCCTAAGCATTGGGGTCACTGCTCTTCTTCAGCTGGCAGGTCACACAGTTGCTCATAACGCATTCTGCATTCCTGGTTGCATCACCCTGCTAGGTTGGCTGCACCTGGCATTGGGCGAAATCTGACCATCTCAGGCTGCCAACGCACCGCGCAGTTAAAGCACAATTTCAAACCCCAAAGAATCTTGTGATCTGCAGTTTGTGAAGGGTGCTGGGAAGTTCTGCTGTTGGGTGGCTGGGATCTCATCAGACCTGCACCCAGGAGTGTGCCCAGCCTCTCTGTTGGGAAAAAATGGAGAGAAAGAGCAAGAGATCTGGGGCTCTGGGTCATCCCATGACAAGGCTCCCATCATTATATTCAAGGCTGGTGGGGCAGAAGGCAGGGAACCCAACAGTAGGTGGAGCCAGGGCCAGTGATAGGTGCAGACATCCCTTTTTGCACCTTGAGGCGAAACAGGAAGTGCCGCCTGCACCACCACACCTGCCGCTGCCACTGTTGCCTCCACTGTTGATGGAGAAGCGGTGATTTTGGGCAAGATCTTGGAGGCGGCAGGGCAGAAGGGGTGCCGCCTTGGAGGTTTCTGCTGCCTGAGGCAGCAACCTCGCCACACCCAATAGCTGGATAGAATCATAGAGTTGTAAGGACCATTTAGTCAAGCCCCCTACAATGCAGGAATCTTTTGCCCAATGTGGGGCTTGAACCCAGAACCCTGAGATTAAGAGTCTCATGTTCTGCCGCATGTGCTATCGCAGATCCAGTGACAAGCGGAGTCAACTCATACTACCGTAGTTTCCTCCTCCACCTCCTCCTCCTTCTTGCTGAGTTTGAGATCAAGACTAAGGAGGAAGAAGCTGAGAGGCATGGATACCCCTTGGACTACTTGTAAGAAAGCAGGCAGATGGAGGGTGGCCGAGAGCAGACTGAGGTTATTACGGCAGTGCCCCATTTGCCGTAATGGGCCAGCCTCCACTACAAATGGATTTTTAAAAAAACACCAGTGAGATACACAGACCACAGCAGGACTGTCAGGATAAAAGCAAGTTTTATTTTGTTTCTTTAAGAGATTTCTGGGCTGCCTTCTAAGGCCGTGCCCACATTCGGATGTTTCCAAGAAATAGAACACAACACCTCATTGCACTCAAACACATTAACACACCATAAAACATCAGAAAGCAGCGAGAGAATCCAGCTACAAGCACTATAGCCTTAAAATCACAAAAACTATTTTCAAGCAGCTTTTTTTAAAAGAAAGAATCTAAACCCCAATCATTTTAGGGAAAATCCTTGTAGATCACACCAAAAGATCCACTGAGACTGCATTTGCTCCATACATTTAAAGCACCATGATACAGTAAAAGGTAAAGGTAAAGGGACCGCTGACCATACACAGTCGCGGACGACTCTGGGGTTGCGGCGCTCATTTCCACTTTATATAATCATGGCTTCCCCCAAAGAATCCGGCGATCTGTCATTTGTTAAGGGTGCTGAGAGCTCCTATTCCCCTCGAAGAGCTACAATTTTCAGAGTGGCTTAACAATCAGTTCCTCTTGAATGTAACTGGAGCTCTGGGAGGGGAATATGTAGAGCTCTCCTATCAACTCTGGGAGACCAAGGTTCAAATCCCCACTTGACCAAGAAGCTGACTGGTTGACTAGTTACTGCCTAGTCTACCTCACAAGGTTGTGGTGGGAATTAAATAAGGGGGACGAGGACGAGGACTGTGTATGCCACTTTGAGCTCCTTGGAGGAAATGTAATAACAAAAAGAAGAAAATTAAGAAAGAAGCTGTGATTTGAACATGCCAGTGACTAGACTTTCGTCCTGTATGCTTTTCCCACTGGGCTACAGTCACTGAGCAGATGCCCATCTTGGAAAAACAATTTCAAGGGCTATTTTCCTAAGCGAACTGGTGGTTTGAACTTAGCACCACAACCTACCACTTTCCCCCACTGGTCTACAGACGGTGTTGCCAAACCAACACAAGGAAACCCGTGCCCAAACAATGCTTCGCTACTAAGACAAGGGAATGCTCTTAAACCCACAGAAATTTGAAGTTGCTATTGTAGGTTTTACAGCCGGGGCCCACCCTACAATTACTGCTAGAGGACACTCCAGATCTCTAATCGAGGAAGACCAATTCAAAGTGGCTTTCTGAGGGCAAACCAAACCACCAAAACAGAGCTGAACCTGCAAATGTTGCCTATCTAATATATTGGCCTCTTAACCAGAAAGATGAGGACTTCGCCACCACAAAAGAAATAATTAGGGGCACTGGTGCCCATTGGGATTGATAGGGCAAAAGGCAGGGAGCCCAACTGCAAGTGGAGCCAAAGACAATAAGAACATAAGAACAGCCTGGTGGATTAGGCCAATGGCCTATCTAGTCCAGCATCCTGTTCTCACAGTGGCCAACCAGAGCCCTGTGGGAAACCGGCAATCAAGACCTGAGCTCAAGAGCCCTCTCCCTTCCTGTGGTTTCCAGCAACTGGTATTCAGGAGCATTGCTTCCTCCAACTGTGGAGGCAGAACACCACCATCATGGCTGGTAGCCATTGATAGCATTCTCCTCCATGATAGGCAGAGCCAGCTAGTTCCAGTCCTCCTCTCTGCAGAATTCTACAAAGGCAACAAGATACGAGTCTGATAGGCAGAGGCCTTTGTTTCATATCTAGGACCCAGAGACCTGCGACATTTTCAGCAACAAGAAGGCTGTCACATACTGCCACAATCTCCACAGCAGTGTGAGATTCCAGGGGTCCAGGTGCTTGAATCCAGGTCCAGGTGTTTCCTTTGGAAATGAGGAGCTGTGGAGACTGTGGTGTCTTTGCGATATATGGTTTATTTACACATATATACAACCTGAGCTTACGATGGAGAGGTTTCAAAGCATTACACTCCAAGGGGCTCCTGTTTCTCCCATGGCCATGGTCCTGGATTCAAACTCTCAGCCCACATTGTGCCCTGATCCTCCCGAACATTGCAGTTTGCCGCATTTAACAAACTGCAACCTCTCTTTCCTAGGTCACATAACCAGCACTGCAATCCTAAACTCAATTGGTTTGTTTTTGCTAACTCCAACTCCTTGCTGTCTGGCACTGCCTATATAGGCATCTGGCAGCCCATCTCAATACTCCAAGCATTGATTAAATTCTAGCACTTACTAAATCAAGGTGACCAAAACCTTTGGCACCCAAGAACCCATAACATCACTCTGGCCTCCTAAACTGCACCCTAATCCCATCTGTTAGCAGTGAAGGAGTATCAGGGATTGCTTAGTCAAAGGTAGACTGATGACTCAGGGTCCATCAACAAACACTGTGCTGTGCTTTTTTTGAGGGGGGCTTCCTGATCCTCAACATCCCCAAATTGTGGGGTGTCCAGTTCTCCCTCTGAAGACTCCATGCCTGGTACCAGGGCCACATTCACACCATATATTTAGGGCACAATGATACCACTTTAAGCAGTCACACAGCACCGCCCCCCAAGAATTCTGGGAGATGTAGTCTGTTAAGGGTGCTGAGAGTTAGGAAGCCCCTGTTCCCCTCAGATCTACAATTTCCAAAGTTCCATGGGAAGAGGGGTTGACTGTGAAACCACTCTGGAACTTGTAGCTCTGTGAGGGGAAGGTGGGGTGGGTGGGTCTCCAAACAATTCTCAGCACCTCCACAAATTGCAGCTCCCAGAATTCTTTGGGGGTGGGGAGCCATGACTCTTTAATGCGGCACCACGGTGAGAATGTGGCACAGGTCAGGGCCAGACATGACATATATAGACTATGGAATATGTCTATTTATGAATATGCCCTGTGATAATATAAGGCCACTGGAAGCGGCATATGTCCTCTGTAACGCCAGTTGTGGTCTTTTTTGTTTAGTTGATCATTTCTACATTTGTTTGCTTCCCTTTCAATAAACAGTTAAGAAGAAGAATGAGGTGGCCACTTCTATATCACCCAAAAAAGGAGGATATGTGTCATCGAAATAACAGAGGGCAAAAGAGGAGACAGATTGGCATAAAATTTGCACGGGCTAATTTATACATAGAGGTGCAAATTTAGAGATGATTGCTATAATTTAAGGAGAATGAAGGAATCTGCCTTCTACTGAGTCAGACCATTGGCTCACCCAGCGAATAAGAAATCCAGCACTTCTTACCAGACTGGGGAAAGCTGTTACCGAGTGACCTGTGTGGCTGCTCAGTCTTGCAGTCCTGGGGCTCACAGTGGACGCCCCTGCCTGCTCTCCTTTCTTGGGGTCAAGAACATAACAAGAGCCCTCTGGATCAGGCCAGTGGTCCACCTAGCTGGGCATCCTGCTCTCCCAGTGGCCAACTGGATGCCTGTGGGAAACCCACAAGCAGCATCTGAGCCCAAGAACTTTCTAGTGGGGTAAGAGAGCTGAAAATAATGCCAATATGTTTCACATCTGGCAACCAAAACCTTTGGTTTCAGTCCTCTAGTGGCTTATTTACCAGAAGTAATGCATTGGCTTGAGCCCCATGGTGGGCAAAATATTCCTTGCATTCCAGGGGTTGGACTAGATGACCCTTGTGGTCCCTTCTAACTTTACAGTTCTATGATTTTCAGGCTTAGTTTGGTCAGAATCAATTATACACTTCCAGAATTAGCACTAAATATATTACTTCTGGTAAATGAGCCACCATAGTCATTAGAGGGCTGTGAAAATTGGTCTCCCAGGCTTTTCAGACTCATCTACGTGTGTACTATCTGAAATCATAGGGGTGCATTGGTTGCCAGATGTGATTCCCCCCCAAGTCTCCTACCCCACTCCTCCCCTGCAGTTTCTAGCAACAGACGTTCAGAAGCATACTGCCTACAGCCATGGAGGTAGAGCTTCGCCACCAGAGCTAGCAGTCACCTGTAGCCTTGATGGCCAGGTTCTTGATCTTTAAACTAGACAGATGCCTTCCAAGCAAGGACCGCCCTCTATGGGCACATGGGCACCCTAAGAACATGAAGACTGCCGCAGCTGGATCAAGCCCAGCATCCTGTTCTCGCAGTGGCCATTCAGATGCCTCCAGGAAGCCCTCAAGCAAACCTGAGCACAGCAGTGCTCCCCCTATTTGCTTGTGCAAATGGGACTCACCCCACTTCCTCCTTGAAATTTGTCTTGGAAGTACCCCCCAACCTTCCAGAGTGGATCTGGGGAGAGTGTGGGGCACGTGCCTGAGGAGGTGAGGTGGGGGGAAGTCGTGTTGTGCAAGCGGAAATCCTTGTGCTGACGTGATGGTTACTCAATGCCACCTTGAATGCAAGCCAGACCCCAAACAGTTTACAAGAAAACAAAACAAACATTAAAACGATGGATAAAACACAACGTTAAAAGCAGGTGTTTGGTTTTTTGTTTCTGCTTTTTTTTAAGAAATCAAAATCTTAAACTAATAACCAAATAAAACACCTGCCTGAATAGACTTGCTTAAACAAACATCTTTTTAGCAGGGACTGAAGAGAGCCTAGCGAAAGTCACAGCTTGATGTCAATAGGCAGGAAGTTCCATAGTGTAGCTTTGAAAACCTGTGACAAATTGTCAAGTTCAACGCACCTTCAGAGTAGAGATCTACTTGGATAAAAATGGGGTTTGGATGAAAATGGGGAGAGACTATTCCCACCCCTATGTTTTCTGTCCCTTCTCCAATTTTGCAGAAACAAGTGGGAGGGACCCAAAAAAAGAAAGAAAGAAAGAAAAGGAAGGGGGAACTGGTTTTCCCCTCATTCCCCGCTCCCACCAGCCT